AGCTTTGCTAATCTTTTTTGTGTCCCTTTTTTTTTGGGGGGGGGGGATCAGAATATCTATGGAAATGTATGACTTTTAGAGACTGATAAGAGGCTCTTTTGAGCCCACTGATGCACTCCTTCTGCGGGTATATTTGAGAGAGCTGGTGTGTTTGTATGTCACTCGCACAGTGTGTGTGCTGAATGCCTGGCACTTCGCTCCACATCTCCAGGGCTTACCTTACCCAGAATGTGACCCTGTCTGAGGATCTGGTGCACAAGTACAGCGACGTGGCCCTAACTCACCTCAACTGCACCCTCAAGGAGCTACGGCGACTTTTCCTGGTGGAGGATCTGGTGGATTCCCTGAAGGTGAGACGCCGCTCTGCTGCTGCGCTGCATGGTGGTGGTGGTGGTGGTGGTGGTGGTGGTGATGATGATGATGATGATTTTGGGCTCAGTGCTGCATTTCTGCTGGTTCTCGAGTTCTTGTGTCCTGTGTCAGGCTTAGCAATTGCTTTTCCTTCTTGGTCCTGGGGCTTGGCTGTAAGCTAGAATGTCAGATTGTGTGAATCTCAAAGCCCACAATATTCTGAACATGCTGTGGTTCCCCAGCTAGAGGTGCAGCTGTTCTTTAGGGCTGTTATGCAAGGAAAGGCCTCGGTCTGCCGGACCCCAGCTGTTACCTTTGCTGTTTCCTTCCCTCCCCTTCTTGCTGGTAACTGCGGTGTGTTTTGCTTATTTGTGCACATTTGTGAAGCCGTGTGCTTCTGGTATATCGGCCTCAGTTGTTGCTTGTTAGCTTCCAGTACATGTAGTGTTTCGATAGCACTGGCTGCACTGGCATTCTGAGGGCTACCTACCTTGAGCTCTGTGCACCAGAATAGCTCTGCTGCGCTTGCCTGTGCGCGCTTGCCTGTGCGCGCTTGCCTGTGCTGGTGGAGGCCAGTTGAGCTCTCGCCGGGCCCCAGGGGTGGCTGTAGCTTGGGGGCCCTTCAGGCTGAGCTGGGAGAGTTTCCCTCACACAAAGGGTCCTTTTAGAGAGCGGTCAGCCCCGCAGGCCCAGGTGCTTCCCGGTCACAGTGAGCCCTTTTCACGTCTTGTGGGCCCAGGAGTTTTTATGAGAAGCATTGTGGTGCTGTGTGTGTGTGTGAAGGAAATGTGTGTTTTGGGGGGTGAGTTTTTAACCCTTTCCACGTATTTCCCTGGGCAGTGTTTGCACACATCACTTCGAGGTGTCTGCAGATGGAGGTCATACATTTATTCTTTAGCTTCACCAGTGAGTCGACTGTTTTTGATACCAAAGAGGCAAACATTGATGCTCAGTGCACTTCTCTTATCCCGTTTTATTATCCTGGCCTCAAGGCAGATCTGTCTTCTGTTGATTCGACTTGAGCAGCTGGTGCTTTTCGTATTGTGATGAGCCGAGTGGTAATTCTTGTTCACCTTTTGCACTTAAGGGTCTTTTTGATCTGACTTTTTGTTATCAGTGTTGGGCCAAGCAGTCTGTCTCTGTCTCTGTCTGTCTGTCTGTCTGTCTGTCTGTGTCTGTCTGTGTCTCTCTCTGTCTGTGTCTCTCTCTGTCTGTGTCTCTCTCTGTCTGTGTCTCTCTCTGTGTCTGTCTCTGTCTGTGTCTCTCTCTGTCTGTGTCTCTCTCTGTCTGTGTCTCTCTCTGTCTGTGTCTCTCTCTGTCTGTGTCTCTCTCTGTCTGGCTGCAGTCATGAAACTTTGAATTGTGTCGGCTGCTTTCCTGCTCTGGAGAACCCGGCACTGGCGTGCTTTGTATCCCACCTGATCTGGCCAGCGGCAGCAGTGTCCTTATTTGGCCCTGGAAAGGGGGGTGTGGAGTTTCATGGTGACCCGCTGACCTTTTCCTAAGGTTCCATGTGCAGCCTTTCCTAGCGGGGCGACTCCTAGCCAGCTCGCTAGCCCTCTCTGTAAAACATGGCCGTCTTTACCAAGCTTGTCCCCTGCTGCCGTCTCTTCCCACCCCCCACCCCCCGCGCTGTGACGGAGCCGGGCCGGGGGCTTAATGCTGCTTCCATTCCCGTTCCACAGCCGTCGTCGTGAGCCATGCGAAGGATGCTGTTCCGGCTAATTGGCTTATGGAGGCCAGGCGCTTAAGTAGCAGGCCTGACAGGCCTGTGCTGTCACTGTATAGAGGTGTGACTGTACACATGCTGAGCCGATGTAGCGAGTGACCCCTGAGCACCAGTTACAGTGGCCAATTCAGTCTCCTGGTGCTGTTGACCTTGTTACTGGTATTATGACTCTCTCTTAGTTGGGTATATTAAGCGACTTGGTTTTGTCTGTTTTACTGTCATCTTAAGTGCTAAAGGACATGGCCCATTTACAGTGACACGTCACAGGTGGCCATGTTGTGCCGATGATGCGTGTGACCTCTCAGTGACCGCGTGTGTATTGACGAGTCCCTGTCTGTTCCTCTCCTGCAGTTTGCCGTGCTGATGTGGATCCTGACCTACGTCGGAGCCTTGTTTAACGGCCTGACTCTGCTTATCCTGGGTAAGTACCACACTCGTCTCAATTGCTGATGTTGTGATGGAGGCTTTCTGGGAACATTTCTCTAGTGTGATGCATGAATGTTTTAGCACGTTACGGATACAGAGGACAGCTTTTGGGGATGGGGGGGGGGGGGGGGGGTGGTGAAATTTGTCTGACGTTGCCATGCAGAAAGCTTGACATGACGACACCACATATCATTCATGTGATTAACAAACTCTGTGTGGATGTTCTGCTTTGTTTAATGGCAGGATCTGATCAGTCATGTTTGCGATGAGCTAAGTATTATGGTACACAGTGGGCGAGTGCTGAATATCTGTGTCTGTCTGATCCAGGCTGCAGCAGGAACTTCACTCATGTAGCGATTCATGTTGGTGTAACTAATGTCGTCACATGACTTACGGTGGTCCTCTGCTCTCCAGCCTGTAGTAGCCCCCACAGTGCATGGTTATTTGGGCTTTTATCGCTGTGCTTTATTTCGATGTGCCTTAGAACCCCTTTTCCTTCAAGGTATTATGGAGCTAAACAACTTTTTGATTCAGGCTCAGGTTGGGGCAGGAGGGTCCTGAGCTAAAGCTGATTAGGAGAGATTGTTCTGTCAGAGGGCTGTGCAGGGGCAGAGATCCTGAAGTTGTTTGCTGTGGTTTAGCTGCTCTGATCTCTACCCAGTTTGAGAGAACTCATCGTTTGACCATCACAAGTTCGATTTCTCAGTGTGCTAATGCTGTTCTTGTTGGACAGGAATAGCTGTGCTGTTGGGTGTTTTTATTTATTTATAATTTGCTTAATGGTGTCTTATCTTTTGGTACAGGTCTGATTGCTGTGTTCAGCACCCCGATAATTTATGAAAAACACCAGGTAAGTACCATGCTGATGTAGGCTTCAATTCTCCTCTCTTCAAACCAAACCCAAAAAGTATGTTCAGAAATATGTGCTTCCGTGGCTAATTTACCTTGCAGTTTACCCCTGGTGTGTTGCCTGTGTCCCTGTTCATGATGCCCGCTGTGCCCTTTTATTGTATCCTCTTTATCCACCGTTCTAACTCTGTCTCCCTCCAGGCACAGATTGACCATTACTTGGCTCTGGCAAGAAACCAAATCAAAGACATTTTTGGAAAGTACGTGTCTGATGGCTGTATTCGGGGTGGGGGTGGGGGGGTGTAAATCACTTTGCTATGATGTTTCAGTGTTGGCGTGACGTTTACAGTCAGCTTGCCTTCGGAATGCTGAGGCTGGTGTTCTGCAGACGCGTGAGCTAAACATTCCTAAAGCTCTGCTCTTCCTCATGTCTCTCTGGCAGGATCCAGGCTAAAGTACCGGGGATGAAGCCCAAGGCAGAGTGAAGGCAGCGACTGGAGACCCCCCCCCGGGGTTTAGGGCCTTGTGGGGAGGGCCCCGCCCAGGTCACAGCCTTCACATTTCACACACTGTCTGCAAGCCCCCATCCTAGCTCATCAGTTCTAGTGCTACGGCAAACTGAACGTTCGTTAACCAGCCGTGACCCTCCCCCCCCGCCCTCCCCCCCAAACCACCACCGCAACTAGCTTGTGAGCCTTATATGCCACTGCAAATAAAATTTGAATCAAATTTACCAGAGAGTGACAGAGAAGGAGTATAAGTTGTGCTTAGAGCATGGAGCTCAGTCTTGGCCAGACTTGTTCGCAATGTAAGAGAAGGTGACTCATTTCTCCTTCCTCTTCCTTCCTCTTCTCGTCACCTGCTGTCCGTGTGGTTAAACATGAAGATCGGCTGCTTTTTTTAAGGGGGATGTAACACCAATTGAATGGTACTGGGGGGAGGGGTTCGGTTTTTTTCGGTATGATTAAAACTTAGTGGTGTTGTGATTTTACCGTTTTATTGATTGACTATGTAGTATTTCACAGGGCTTCTGGCTTTCTTCAGCAGATTCACAGTGGTGGAGACCTACTTCATAGACCCTCATGCTTCTGAGTGTTTCAACAAACATTTAGTACTTTTTGCGAGAAACTACGTTGTCGTTTCACCACATTGCAGCTGAGTATTTAGGGGAGGAAAACTTATTTAAAAAAAAAAAGTTTACACACAAAAAAAAAAAAGCTTAAAAAAAAAGTCTGTGGACCCAATATCTAAAGCTGCAAAATTATGTAAACTTGGGAATTTCAAGCAGTGTTTGTTATGCAAGTAAATGTGAATGAAACTTCATACAGTTGTGATGAATTCTGCTGAGACTTGTCTGTGGAATGCATTGTGAAATGTAAACTGATACCAATAAAGCTTATAGACAAATATACATCTTTGGCCTGCTTTCCTTCCCTGATTGTGCATCAGCAATATGGGGCCCCTTCACCACCACTGTACTTCACCAGTGGTGAAGGGGCAGGAGAGAATTTGTCAATTTACATTGAGGGTATGATTAGAAGGCCTGATTTGAGACTTTAGCCAGGCCTCAGAACACATCCCCCTCCTACTCTTGACCTCAGTCTCCTCTGAAGGATCACACCATTTTCACTGGCCACACCAACACCTCTTCCAGTCTCCCATCCAAGTTCTGACCAGGCCCAACCCTGCTTAGCTTCAGGTGGATTATCCAGTCTGAACTGCAGGTGCTATGGCTGCCAGTGCAGAACTTAGGTGTAATTCTCATTTTCTTCCTCGTAATGTGTAGAGTCATGGCTAAGATTAATAAATACTTAAGTCAGGGATGGCTGATCTGCACAGGTGTGTTTTCACTGCAGCTCCCTAATTATATTACTAATTAGAGGACTGATTGGCTGAAGGGTCCTCACACCTGGGTTTGGTTTCAACGGCTGACCTACAGGTTATCCCGAAAACCTGCGCACACACACCGGCCCTTTGCGGGTAAGATTGGCCACCCCTGACTCATCCCTGTAGGGAAATTTTCTTCATGGCCTCCCCCAACTTGCTCTCTGGAGGTGCTGGGCTGTAAGGGCCTTGCTGTGTGGCCTTGAGTGCTGTTATTCTCACAACAACCCATTTGTTAGTGCAGTGTTTCCCCATGCGGTCCTTGAGGACCCACAGTCGGTCCACGTTTTTGCTCCCTCAGGGAGGGAGCAAAAATATGGACCGCATTGGGAAACGCTGTGTTAGTGACTACCAGCGCTCACCATGAATTGTGGCTTATTGTAATACAGTGTTGGGCCTAATAAAAGGGGAATTTGTTTTCTCTCCATCTACTTAAAGCCACCAAAGTGCAGCCAGAAGACCAGACTCACGTAACCATCTCTTTACTGTGGATAGAACATTACTTTGCACATTCAGTTACATTAATTAAAAAAAAAAACCCTCATTCATACAATAACTTTGCCCCATTCGTTTCCGCTTAACACATTTTTAAATTTGAAAAATAAATTTTCATGCACAGAGAATTTCTCTAATTTACAATTATAATACAATCAAGTTCAGGACACGCTAGACAAATCGTTTACATAGAAAAAAACGTACAAAATGTAAAAACAGTGGACAAAGATCAATATTCAGTAGGGACCCACACAACGTTCATTACAGTTTGCTTTCACGCGGTAGCTAGATACAGTGAGACGTCACGGCACAGGCTGATTATCGGACGGCACAGACAGGGGGTAGGAGAGCAGAGACGACTGTCAGAGTACAGGCTGCATAGTTCAGCTTTGGTGTGTCTGTACTTCCTTTTCTGCACAGGAAGTTCTGTGACGAAGTGGACAGCTGAAGGTTGCTTCGTTCACTTGTACCAGTAGCACTATTATCTTTGCACTATTACCATGACCTTTGTCACTACCGTTCCCTGGCGGACGATCTCCTTTGTTACTTAAGGAATGCAGTTTGTTGCAGTTGTTGACATGCGTAAAAAGGGACACCCCCCCAGTTAGCTATTTAAAAGTACAGTACTTGTGCCTGGAGTGAGTCCTGAGCTTTCCCTGTGATATTTGGATATTAGAGGAAGAGCTAGCTATCAATATGTAACGAAATATGGACGACTAGGTGTTGTGCAAAAAAAAAAACTCCTTTCCTGCATATCAAATAACTAATTCTTAACACTATTGAGAGCCCTCGATATGCAATCTAATAGCACCAGAGGTGTACAAAACAATCAGAACCATGACACTGAAGGGATACAATACAAAAAAAAGCTACAAAAGGCACTTATGTTTCACTGTCAAAATAAAGGCTTTCACATAATTAAAAAATAATGGCCTGAAATGAAAGATCTCACATGTAGCTCTCAGTGGTCACAAGCAAGGGGATGGGAATTAAGGGTTTGCCACTTTGTGGAAAGCGGATGGGAATGTAAACAGGTTTTTTTCTTTTAAATTTAGCAGATTGCTATAAAAAAAAACGTCTGTGGCGAGAGTGTGGTTTGGTGAAGCAGGCCCTCCGCGTACATGGCATGTCGTGGTGTGGCGGCCCGCTTCTGGTTCTGTAGAAGGTTATTGCACAGCGCTAAGTCCAGGCCGATTCCCCTTAGCTCGCGCGGGCCGTCGGCGTCCTTGTTTGACGTGACGGAGATTCGGGTGCAGCATCTGTTTGAGGGGTGCAGCAGCTAGACACTTGTGGCATGGGGAATCCTTCTGACGCAATGCCAAGGGTGTCCGTGACCCGTCCCGTGGGGG